TACATGCATATATACAATATGGAATTTGTAAAATGTGTTAATTATACTTTCTAAACCTTGAATAGACCATAAGAACGTTTTTTTATTAACTTCATTGAAGCTATCACACCTATTTAATAGAACATTCCACAGAAAAGGCGCGAAGATTAACTCCTAGCGTTTGGCGCCAAATTTTGAATAGTGATCTACCTTTCATACTTTTAAGAGAGAGGCACTGCTTCGTAGAGTAGATGTCCTGATAGTGTAATATTTAGTGCGTTGGAATTTTATGCTGGTGACTTGGGTGCAATCCCCTTGTGTGCAAATCTTTTTTTAACATTTTCAGCTCGATTTTACGTTTTCTTTTCGGAATCGGACGGAAGACCTCTCGTTGCTCGCAACGAATTTCATCTAGTTATTGGGTTTTTTTTTACCGATTTTGTGCACGCGATTTCTCAAAAACGGCTCGATGGATTTCCATGAAACTTTCAGGACTTATGTAACATCACTCGAACCTAATGCGTTTTTTTCTGTTTTGATGACGTCACTTCCGTTGTTCCGTTTCGAGTTATAAGCATTTTAATGATTTTTTAAGGGTCAGTTTGTCCGCACGATTTCTCCTAAACAGCTTTAGATAGACACGTGATACTTTCAGGTATGGTAGACCTAAGTCTGTAGATTTGTGGAATGTATTTCATTTTTATCGGAAGTACCGCACGTCGGCGCTCGCTACGGCCCGAAAATAGTCGTATCGCAAATTTCAAATTTTTTAACACCTTTTCTACGATATCTTTTTACCTGGAAATATTTTGTTAAAACATATAGAACAAAAGAAGTGTAGAATTCCGCCATCTTTCAAATGCTATCTTTTAAAAAGGGCTGGCCCCTGAAATTAAGGGCCTAGAGGGGCCGAAATTTTTTCCTTTATATCTTATAAAGTATTGATATTTTGTAATACGTCAAAGAAGCAAAGTTGTTCAAAATGTCAAGCTCAATCTATGAGAGTCATTAAAATACGTCCGTCGTCGTCACTTCCGGCAAAAACCGGAAGTAGTCAAAAAACGCGTATTTTTGCCTTTCTTGACAAGTTTTTGGGTAACACATGTCTCTGGGAGCATAAAAATTAATTTTCCGTCCGTCGTCGTCACTTCTGGTCAAACCGGAAGTAGCAAAAATGGCTTATTTTAGCATTAATTAACAGAAATTAAGGTGATTTATACATTTTTGGGCGTTACAACTCATTTTTGTAAAAAATGAAAGTTACTTCCGGTTTCTTCCGGTCAAACAGGACGGAAGACCTTTTTAGGGTTAATAGGTGTGTAGTGTAGGTGTGCGGAACGAAGGTCATTTTGCGCGCATACGCATGCACGTGCGTGCGCGTGCAATGAGTGAAATGACTGATATACTTTATATAGACGTAACTTTTTCATTTTTTGATGAAATACTATAAAACTCATTATATAAGGATATATTAGTAGTGTAAATAATATGACATGGTCAAATTAGCACGAACTCACGCGCATGCACGTGCGCTGTGCTCTGATTGGCTGAAACAAAAACCTCAATATCTTTCTTGTTTTTTGCCGAAATGCTTTGATATTTAAAACATAGTCATGCATTAGGATATCCTATAATTTGATAAATAATAATTTTCATGAAATCACGCACATACATGTGCGCTGTTATCTGATTGGCTTAAACTTTAAGTTGTCATAACTCCCTTGGTAATCAACCAAACAGGATGGAATATAGAACGGAGATCGACATAAGGGACTCCTACAAAAATGTATGGTCATCATGCACATGCATGCACGTGCATATGGTTCGTCTTATTTAATGAAGCTTACAGGGAATAAGGCACAAAAAGGGAGATGGGGAGCGTTTGGGGAACATCTTTAACGGTCCCCGTTACAATTAGCCCTAGTTAATTTATATGTTACAAACCAACAATGAGGTGGGTTTTTTTTCTTTCAGTCAAGCAAGTGATGTCAGGAGATGGTTTCTTTAAAGGATTACGGAAAGTATTGTTCTTCCGACCCTATCTGAAGTTATCCATGTCTGTTTTATTTTTGTCTGTAGCAATCTCAGTAGGTAGATACATAAACTCACAGCTTAACTTTGATTCTTATTTTAAGGGGCTTAAATTGTTTTTTTTTTAACTTGTCCCATTTACCAGTAGTCTTTTAAAATTACTTTTAAGCAATTTGGAGCATAATAAAATCATTTGTAATCAGTCAAACCCCATTTTAAACTCTTCATCTTTCCAGATTACTCAAGGAAACTTGGCTCTATTCTGTACATACTCACTTGGCATGGGCAAATATTTCTCCACATTCATCACCATCATCATGGTTAGTATATACATGTACATATAAATGGGTCACCTTTACAGGTTTCAATCATATAATCTGTAGTCTTGCATTAAAGATTTCTTTAAAAACAAATTTCCAGGCCTCCACAATCTGTAGTCTACCTGTCTGGCATTTTATACAAATGAAAATTGGCAAGAAGAGAACCTTTGCCGCTGGAATGTTGGTAAGAATTTTTGGAGAAGCATTATATCTCAGGAAATCTACACAAGATAAAAACAGCAAATAAAACAAATTCGATGCTATTTTAATCTGGTCATTGTTTATCTCTCTTTAGATGTTCATCCCTGTTTTGCTGTCACAGCTTTTCCTTCGTGACAGCTTTCTTGTTTACACTATTATACTGGTCTTCGCTGGATTAAGCATTGCAGTCTCACTTCTTCTACCATGGTATGTACAGAGTTATCTCCCTTCCAATATCAATAAAGTTTGTATTTATATTTTCTTGCGTGACTTTATTTTTTTTCCCTCCCAGGTCTATGCTTCCTGATGTTATAGACGAGTTTTATCTCACACACGGAGAACACAAGGATGCCATTTTCTATTCCTTTTACGTTTTCCTCAACAAACTGGCTACAGGACTAGCAGTGGCCTCTTCTCAGTTTGCTTTAAAGTGAGCTTGCTTCATGTTTTAGTTTCTCTTAGATAAAGAACAAGTTTAGAAACCTGCTTCTTAATCTTTAATTCTGGTTCCTTCATTAACTTCATTTAACATGTAGCGAGAACCAACAATCTGTGGCATATAGAGATAAAAAGAATTTTGTGAGTTTTAATTTTATTTTCTGATTTCAGGTATGGTGGATACCGAGTTGGAGACTGTGAACAACCCCCTGGTGTGGGACTTGCCCTGAGGTATCTAATGATACCGGGCCCCATTATAGCTGTGGTGATTGCTTTAGTGTTCCTCGCTCAGTATCCAATCAGAGATAAGAGAGATCGACTCAGATGACAGGAAATAGTCCGAAATACCAGTTAAATATTCATTCAAAGTAACTCAGCTCAATTAGTCTTAATACTGATAATACAGCTGATATCAACTCCAGATTTACTGAAATAGTCACTGTAAAAATTTAAGATGATTACAAGAAACTGTATCATACAGATGTACAAGTTAAAACTGATATTCATCTAAGACTTCATTTGACATTTTCATTTTTTTTTTTGGTAATTTTTGTTTTCATTTATGATGACAACTGTGTTTGCATTCCAGCAAAATTAATCATTATATTTTTATACATGTGTATTATGCATTTGCAAGATTTAAGTGCAATATCTGTGGAAGTTAATAAATTGAAAGCCTAAAAGTGTGTGTTGATATAAACCATTAAAAAAACCTAAGCTTGAACTTTTTTTTTACTTCCATGTGCCTTTGACAAATGTATTGTATACAGGCAACTTTCTTTACAAGGCCACTAATACCACAGGGATACATTATTTTAAAATAGATTTTGAAATTGGGTGTTTATTTCGATTTCCATATGTGAGTAAACTTTACTCAACTTTTAAAGTCTATTGTATATTGGTAGGGTAAACTCATTATAACTTGGTCATGGAGTGATGCATCACATCCAAATTCAATTCATCCAATATTAATCCTGTTAAACTGCATTCTCAATCACTAAGAACTTGCTACTGAAAATATCGTTTATGTTCAATTAAAAGAAAAATTATACATGCATTTCACTAATGATCAAAACTTATTGAAACCTGAGTATATTTCCTCAGGACATTTTTTTTTGGATAACTTATTTTTCTCATATAGAAGTTGTACCTCTAGAATCATTAAACCAGATGTTTTAAAAGCTATAAATCCCAACACATTTCTGACAGATATATGTTCATTTTAGTACACCTCTACATGTACAGGGCTCTCGATTCTCTAAATCTGGGGCCGATATTTGGAACGGGGGGCCGATATTCGGCCCCGTTCCCAATGCAAAAAAGGTACTTTTTTTCCCAAAAGAAAGGTGTAAATTTCCCAATTTCCATAGCAAAATATTAATTAAAAAATAAAAGTCCATGAAACTTAATCGGAAAAAAACCCCAAACAAAACACACTTGCAAATGAAAGTGAAACTGTACTTCTGTTTTATTAGTTCGCGCCAAATGTATTTGTAAACTGGTTCGGGGAACCAGGTTATTGTTTTTACAAAAATGTATACTAACTATGAGTGCAGAGTATCTTGTCATGTAGTTTCGACAAAAAACGTCATTTTGGTTTTAAAAAAAGACATTTCATTTAAACATTTGTAAGCTGCATCTAGAAACATACCCACGCTTCGGCATGTTCAGTCTCGCGCTGTATTGGTAAGCAAAGTTGTCCATGTGATCGAGGAAATTCGGGACTATGTGACTAGCGACTGTCACTCAGAAAGACATATAACCGCAATATCAACACTCAAAGATAGTAATGACAAAGGTAATGTACTTTCATAAGTAGCCTTTGTACCCATGTTTGTTCTGTTTAACTGTTTATTCAAAACCAGAGTTAAATTGATGACAAAATGCTAGAAAAGCAAAATTTGAGGATTTTATGAGGAGGTTATCCAACTTTTCCCAAAATGACGATAATCTCCCAATTTTAACCGCCCCAGTCCCAAAAAGTGGTTTAGAGCCCTGATGTATGACAGAATCAAATGCTTGCAATTTTACCTGTTCTTCCCTGAAGACTGTGTCATATTCTGGAATTGGGTTGTCATCAAAATCATCCTCCTTCATGAGAAGCTTGACTTGAACTGCATTGAACACATTGTGTACGTCTACTGGTCTGTGGCTAAACAACAGGAATAGTGAGAAAACATGTCTGGATTCAATTAATTGCTTTTGCCATTATTTTATATCATACTGCAATTTCATAATCCATATTTGCTTTAAAAGAAACAAGAGTGTCACTCATTATACTTATACTAATCTTCAGGACCTGAACACTGAACTTAGTGAAACTACTCTGAATTTTGGCATCAACACATTAAGCTTTTCAATCATATAGGTCAAGGAGTGAAATATTTCAGTCTGATTAGTAGTCCTTTACCTGTCACAAATATAGAAACGAACACAGTCCTCTGGTTGTAGAACATCTACCAGGCATAAGAAATGGAGGCACCACAATTTCTGACCAAACACATCAGCTAGGCTCCAAAACATGTTAAAAAATTCATCCTCACACAGCAATAAATAGTAAGAAACAATTAAAACAAAAAAATTCTGTAAAACTATATATTTTCTCCTTTTTA